ATCAGTGGTTATTGGCCTATTCAGATTTTCTGATTCTTCCTGATTCAGTTTTGGGAGATTGTATTTTTCTAGGAATTGTCTATTTCATCCACATTGTCCAGATTGTTGGCATATAGTTGTTCAAGTATTTTCTTACAATCCTTTGTATTTCTGTGGTATCCAGGGTTACTTCTCCATTTTCATTTCTGATTTTATTTATTTGGGTCCTCTTTGTATCTTGATGAGTCTGGCTAATGGTTTATCAATTCTTTTTATCCTTTCAAAGAACCAGCTCTTGGTTTCATTGATTTATTTTTATTTATTTATTTTTTAGTCTCTATGTTCTTTCTTTCTCAAATCCTCCAGAGACCATCTCTGTCTACAGGCTAACAGGATTCCAACTTGAATTGCCCCCCAAAAAAATTGTCCTCAAGTGTATCAAGATATTTTTCAACAGGGTAGAGCAGTTGCTTCTGCCTGGAGGCCAATTGTTACTTTTAATCTCTTATGTGGCCTTGAGGCAAGGTATTTTCCAATAGGGTGTGTCAAATGTCTTCCCCCAGGCAAAGCAAATGTTTACTTGGGAAAGAAGTTCTCAGCTGTGTGAGGGAATGACTCAGCACAGGCAACTTGTGGTGTCTGCCTTCTGTGCTTTATCCCTTTATGCCCCAATTCTGGGTTCTGCTCTCACAGCTCTAGTCCACTTCACCCTCCTTCTGCTAGAGCACAAGGTGGGTGGCTCCCCAGGGAATTTTTATGCATTAGCCCTTCAAGAAGTTGCCTGAACTTTCAGCTGCCATACCCTGGCTGACAGCTAGATATTATGTGGGTACCCTCCTCATATTTGGTGCTCTCTATTGGGGAGCCCAGTTTGAGGATTATATCCCAGAGTTCTGAGTGGCACCTCCTCTCCCCAACTGAGATATCTCTCTGGGACTTCAGTTGCTATTGGTGGGTGCCCAGCCAGCCCTTTCGAGCCTCTGCCCCGCCTTCCAGTCTCTATGCATCTCCATCTTTGGTCCTTGGATATCAGGGTACTCTCCTGTGAGTCTTCTGTGGATTATTCAGGAAGCTTTTCTGTATTTCAGTTGTAATTCCATATTGTTCCTATGAGCATGTCCATGCAGCACCCACCACTCTGCCGCCTTTTTAATGTACACACCAAGTTCCTTTTGTCATTCTCTTGTATGGGAGACCCAGACTCTAAATGAAATATATTTTGGGTGCCTTCTTCACAAACTTCTCAAAGACTCTCCCAAACACAGCTCTCACTGATGAAGTTGGAATGGCCCCATTAATCCTGCCTCCTTTTATTTTAGCTGATTGGACCAGAGATAAACACTTAACCCAAGGATGGCCAACCAGATTCTTTTCCTTAGAATTTTTCTTTCTCTAAGAGATAAAGAAGTCCTAATTGGCTGTGGTGAGCCAAGCTGAATGGTCATTCTGGTTAAGGTTGCCAATCTAGGTCATGTGCAAGCACACAGACAGAGAGAAATGCTGTTCTGAGGAGAACAGGAGAACAGAGTGATCCATAAAGAGGGTCCTGGGACCCTGAGAAAAGGAGAAAGTGGCTCTGGTTCCTGTAAAGCTGGGCTTCTCTTATACTTAGGTTCTGTGGGATTTCAGCATCCTTCACTTGACCAAATTTGAGTAACTTTCTGATCTTTGTTATCAAAAGCAACTGACCAGTGATTGAGATAAGGATATCTACTCTTGTCACTTCTGTTCAACATTATAATAAAAGTCCTCGCCAGTTCAATAAAAGAAGAAAAAACAAAACAAAACAAAACAAGGCATGAAGATTAAAAGGGCTAAAACTGTCTTTATTCACAGATGGCGGAATTAGTTGTGTGCTTAGTAAATCCAAAGGAATAAACAAACAATTACAAGTAATAAATGAATATCAAGATCAAAGGATGCAAAAAGTAATTGATTTTAAACATCCTACTTATAAACAGTTGAAAATGAAGTGAATAAACATCCACTTTAAAATAGGATAAAAAACTTTAGATACTTGTGAACAAATGTAATTAGAATATGTGTAAATCCTCTATACTAAAAACAACAAATCATTGTTGGATTAATTTAAATGGAAAGCTAGGATATGTTCAAAGATTGAACAATTTAAGGTGCCAATATTCAGATGTTGTTGATCTCCAAATTTATCTCTAGTGACAATGTAATCTTAACCAAAATCCTAACAGACTTTTTTTGGACATTGACGAACTGATCTAAAATTTATATAGAAATGCAAAAGACTTCAAATAGCCAAGACAATCTTAAAAAAGAACAGAGTAGGAGGATTTTACTAGCAGATTTTAAGAGTTAGCATAAAGCTACAGTTATTCAAGACAGTGTGAAATAGGCATAAGTAAAAACAAGTAGATCAATGAAACAGAATAAAAGTTTGAAAAGACCCACATGTCTGCATCAGTGGATTTTCAAAAAATAGCACCAATGCAATTTATTGGGAGGAATGGAAATTCTTTTTAATAAATGACATTAGAGTAAATCTTATGCATGTGGACCACAAACCTAAAAGGGAAAGATAAATTATAAAACTTCTATGAGAAAAGCATAGGAGAATATTTTTATAACCTTGAAATAATCATATATTTCTTTAAATTTTTTTAAAAATATAAATTTTTATTGATTTCAGAGAGGAAGGGAGAGGGAAAGAGAGATAGAAACATCAATGATGAGAGAGAATCATTGATCGGCTGTCTCCTGCTCGCCCCCTACTGAGAATCGAGCCCGCAATCCGGGCATGTGGCCTTGACCAAAATCAAACTATGGGGCCCTTCAGTCCGCAGCCGACACTCTATCCACTGAGCCAAACCAGCTAGGGCCATATATTTCTTAGGTTGGAAAAGAACAAATAATAAAAGAAAAACATTGATAAATTAGTATTCAACAAAATTTAAAAAATTCTGCTCATTAAAAGACAAAAAAATTAAGAAATAATTTATAGATTGATAGGAGGCATTTGCTATATATATATCTGACCAAGAACTTGTACTCAAGATATATTAGAAATATTGCAAATTAAAATAAAAAATAATAGGCAAAAAACTTAAATGGGAACTTCACAAAAGAAGACGAATGGCCAATAAACATATGAAATGGCACTCAAAATCACTAGTCATCAAGGAAACACAAATTAAAGCTGCAGTCAGACACAGTATCTAGAATGGATATAGGTACAAAGACTGGCAATCCCAAGCACTGGTCAGGATCTGCAGCAACTGGAACCTTGATGCCTTGCTGGTAGGAGTGTGAAATAGTATAATCTTTTTGAGAAATTATTTGCCTGTCTCTAGTAAAGTTAAATATACCCATGTCCTAAGATCCAGAGCTACCACTCCTGTGTACAAACCCAGATAAATGAGTGCATACATCCACAGAAAGACTCCTCTAAGTATGTTCATGGCAACTTTATTTATAATATTAAAAACTGAAGACCACCCAAATATGTATCAACACAAGGGTGGATAAGCACATTATAATACTTCTTAGCATTATAAAAAGAACACACATCCATTAATGAGTCTCAAAAATATTGTGTTGAATAAGTGAGCCAGACACAATAGAGTTCATAATGTATGGTCCCATTTACATAAAGTTCAAGAGCCAGCAAGATTAATTTAATGGTGACAAAAGTCAGGAGATGGTTATGTCTAAGAGGGTAGGACATTGACTGGAAAAGGGTGTTAAGGAGCCTCAGAGCACAATGGAAATGTTCTATGTCTTGGTCTGTTTGATGGTCAGTGGATGGATATGTATTTAAAAGTTCATTGCTAGAGACAAATTTTGCCCTCCCCCTCTCAAATTCATAAGTTGAAGCCCTAACCTTCAGTGCAATGATAATTAGGTTTAGATGAGGTCCCTTTATGGGACCCACATAAAGAAAAAAAGACAGAGCTTCTTTCTTTCTCTGTCTGCCATGTGAAGACACAGTGAGAAGACGGCCATCTGCAAGCCAAAACAAGAGCCCTCCCAAACACTACCATGGTAACACCCTGATTGCTGCTGCCTCCCTGTATTCTTCTTTCTTTCTTACTATGGAACCAATTTATTAGAGGGACAGAAACAGACCTGGTCTAAACAACACATGCATTTCCTAGCTTCTCTTGTAGGTGTAGATGGCCTACATGTGACCTGGTTTGGCCAATGAAATATAAGCACTAATTGGTGGGTGGGCTTCAGGGAAGCTCCTTAAAAGGTCAGACTAGGCTGGCAAATGTCCTCTCTCCCTCTCCCCCCACTTCCTTGGCTTTCCTTTTCTCTTCCACCTGAACTGTGGCTGTGATGGCTGGAACTCTGGTAGTCATCTTGTCAGATTTCAGAGTAGAAACTAGAAAGAGCCTTGGTCCCTGAAGGCTGTCACAACCCTCCAGACTTCTTCACACAAGAGCCAAATAGGCCTGTGTCTTGTTCAGTTGTGCTGTTTGGGTCTGTTGTTGTTGATACAAGCAGCTAAATTTACTCCTAACCAATATAACACCCAAATGTCCAACAACAGGAGCATGATTAACAAACCACAATCCAATCATACTGTAGATCATTTTACAGCCACTACACGATTATGTAGAAAAACATGTAGTAACATGGAGAGATGTTTGTGACATACCATTAAGTAATTTGCAAGACTGGATGTATAGTATGATCCTGTTTTATGAGGAGAAACTACGTATAAGGAATATAGAAAAATAGAAAACAAGACTTGAAGCCAATACAATAGAATAAAACCTCTCTCAGTGGTGGTAATATAGTGATTTTTCTTTTTTTCTGCTTCTCAATGTATGTAATATCTATAATTTCCTAGTTTTGTGATAGAAGAATAACAATGGGGTCATTTTTTAAAAAGAAAATTGTGTATTTTAAAAATATGAACAACTAAAAGTTACCCCCCCCCTTTTTTTTAAACACAAGACACCCTTGTCTTTCACCAAGATTTTGCACAATATCCCTGCTCCACCTTGTCATGAACCAGCTCCTCATGGCTCCCTGAATCTCACCTCGTTCTCTTGGCTCCTGGGTCCGTTTGAATTTCTATTGGCCAAAGGGGCGTTCTGCTCTGGGAGAAATTCAAAACCGGGGGCTCTTTTACAGATTTTCCATTTTCCAGTGAATCTGTGACATTTAAGAAATGTGTCAAGTTAGAAAATGTGCATTTCCCCTTTACAGGCAATAATCTCTGACTAGCTGAGTAACAATTATCACCCTAACAGGGGAGAGAGGGGAAGTGAAGAGGGGTGTCCTTCCTCTCACACCCCGGGGGAAGAGAGTATGTGGCACACCTTGTGCTGTATTTGGTGACCATCTCTCTGAAAATTAGAATGACGATACAAGAAAGTTCATGTATCCATGCACATATACACACACACATGGATATATACAAGTGCATATACACATACATGGAAGAAAGAATATTGGAGATGAGATTATAAACTTAGAATTAGGGTCTTAGATGGCAATAAAACCATAACCTATGGTGTTATTATTCCTACAGGACAAAATAATTTGCCACTTAATCTTTATGGACTTTACAAAATCCGTCAATCCTACCTAGTAAAGAGGAATATACTAATTGACTCTCATGCCATCACAAATATAGTGGTGCCCATAGCCAATAAGGAGGGGAGATGCTAATTGACTGGCCCACCCTCAAAGATGATGCCTACTGTCAATAAGGAGGGAATATACTAATTGACTGCCCTGCCCTCAAAGATGGCAGTGCCCACAGCCACAAGATGGTGGTGCCCAGTCCCCTTAGCCCTGCCGGGACAGCAGGTGCACAGCAAGGCTCTGAGTCCCCCAGTTCCCTCAGCCACCCAGCTGCCCAGGGCTGGCCCAAGGTGCAGGCAAGCTTCAGATATCAGCTGCCCAGCTGCCCAGGGCAGGCCGAGGTTCAGGTAACCAGGGCTGGCCGAGGCTTACACTGCTGTCAGTGGCAGCAGCAGTGGTGTGATGGGGCATTGCCTTCCTATGATCGTAGGGTTGCCTCCTGCCCCTAAGGGCTCCCGGACTGTGAGAGGGGGCAGGCTTAGCTGAGGGACCCCCCTCCAATGCATGAATTTTCATGCACTGGGCCTCTACTATTAAATAATTTACTTTCTGCCAAAACCAGTTTGGCTCAGTGGTAGAGCGTTGGTCTGCGGACTGAAAGATCCCAGGTTCGATTCCGGTCAAGGGCATGTACGTTGGTTGCGGGCACATTCCCAGTAGGGGGTGTGCAAGAGGCAGCTGGTCGATGTTTCTTTCTCATCGACGTTTCTAGCTCTCTATCTCTCTCCCTTCCTCTCTGTAAATAATCAATAAAATATATTAAAAAAGAAAAGAAAAAAGAAACTTGGGAAACTTCCCAAAGTCTGAGGATACAAGTTTAAAAAAAATAATAATTTACTTTCTGCAGAGTGTCCAATCACTCATAGGTGCCAATATTCAGATGTCAATGCTCTACTGTAATCTCAAAGGTTGCCCATTTAGCAGATGAAACTGGGAATGTCCTCACCGCTTAGAGGCCCAAATCACAAACCGTGAACCCAGAGTGCAAGTGTGTCTGCTTTTATTGTTAGGGAATTAGGAAGTGACTCACTTTTTTTTTTGTAAATAAAAATCAAAACTGCTTCACATGTTTTCTTTTGTCATGGGTTCATTTAGAACTGGGTTCATTTTTTCCAGTTTTGTAGAAAAATAGACCAATCCATATGTCCCAGGAAGATGAGTAAGTCTCATGACTAACTCATATTCCTAAAATTACTTAAGACAAAGACATATGTTTTACTCCCAAAGCACAGCATTTCCACAGCAGGCTGATGTCAGGAGGCTGTTAGTCTGCTCCCCGTGGACTCTGGGTCAGGCATTGCTGGGCTGTCTTGGGGAGTTAATTCCAGGGCTGAGGGTGGGGACGCGGGGGAAGGGATAGGAGGAGAAGGTGAAAAGAGGGAGTCACTTTAAAAATAAAACTGTGAGTCTGCTGAAAATTTCTTGTCTGTACATACTAGTAAATGGCATCTTTGGGGCTGTTACAGTCTACCCAGGCACCAGCATTCTCCACTTGGCTTGGAGGCCACAAACGTGAGGCTCTTTCTCCAGTGACTCCATTTCCTTCTCCAGCCTCATCGCACACACAGCCCCATACCCATCTTTTCTCCCGCTCAGAAAGCCCCTACGCAGCTGTATAGCTCTTTCCTCTGATGTCATGCTGTCCAATGGGGCAGTGGCTAGCTATTACACACTTGAAACGTGGCTAGTGTGACCAAGGAAGTAGATTCATTTTTAAAACTTAAATTAACTTAAATATAAAAACTGGTTCTTCAGTCAGCTATTGGAAAACTTTGAAGGATATGTGGAACAATCTGGGTATGTAAATCACTTTTCCAGCTGTACATTTTATGAAATCTAAATCCTGATTAAGCCTTTCCAATGAAAATGAGAGGGGCAGTAAGTATAAATGACTCACCGGATTTCAAAGACATACTGCAAAAAAATTACAAAACGCCTCACTACTAATTCTTATATTGATTATTGACTATGTGATGAAATAATATTTTGGGTTTATTACATTAAGTAAAATGCATTGTTAAAATGAATTTTACCCACTTCCTTTTACTTTATTAATGTTGTCACTGGAACATTTAAAATGACATGTGGCTCGCATTATATTTCTGTTGGACAGAGCTGCTTTACCTGTTTCTCCATCTGCACAGGCTTTGGGACTAGGAGAATCTGAACTCCAGTTCAAGCTGCAGCTCACTATCTGTGTGCTTTGGGGTAAGTGTTTCAATCTTTCTGGGCCTCAGTTGATCTTTTTAAAAAATCTGTAAAATGGGTATGGTAAAGATACCCTTGAAATGCCAGCCTGACATAGTAACTATACCTGAAAGTGCTTAGCCAAGTTGGCTCCCATTGTTCTCTCTGCCTATGTCCTTACTCATCCTTTAAGACTCATCTTTCCTAATCCCACCAGAAGGGTCTAATTCTTTGCCTTTTCCTCTCGTAAACGTTGACACATTGTTTGCCATAAAATGACATCAGCACAATCTTGTGAATTCCTCCTGGGCAGAGACTCCAACTTCCTTTTAAGTTTTTTAATTTATGGAAATTTTCCAACAAAAATTGGGGGAATAATATAATGTACCTCCACGACTGACATGTTTCAATCATTGTATTTCTCTTGCTGGCATTTCTCTTGACATGTGACTCTGTTAGTGTTTTTGGCAGATGGCAAATAACCACAAATTCTATGCTATTCCTCCCATCACACAGTGGAGTGAGTTTCTCCATCTGGTTTTATCTGGGCTGGTCCCATTAGCTGCTTGGACCCAAAGAATGTGGTAGAAGTGACTGTGCAGGACCTCAGGCCAGGTCTCAAGGCCTGGTAGCTTCCACTCTTCCTCTCTGGGAAGCCTGTTGCTATGTGAACAGAACAAGCTAGCCTGTTGGAGGATGAAAGACCATATGAAACAGAGTCAAGCAGTCCCAGCTGAGTTCCCCCTTGGGCCAACCAGCTCACTAGCCACCAGAGGCCAACAAGGCTTTCCTTAATCTTCCAAACCCAGATAAGCCAAAGCCACTAGCTGACTGCAAATGTCAAAGTGGCCCAGACAGAGGAGCCACCCTACCAACCCACAGAATTATCTTACCTAACAATAGACAAACATGTAAATCAACCACACCTCTGCTATGTCCATAGCCAATCAGGAGTGAGTATGCAAATTAACCTCAGTGGGAGGGGCTGGGACACTTGCTATGAGTGGGATGGAGGGTGGCAGAAGGAGAGGTTTATTCTATTCATAGCTATAGGAGTGGTCTCAGAGGGAGCTACAGGAGTGGTGCTCTGGCTGGGAGTGAAGACTTGCAGGCTCCTGGGCTGCCGGGAGCAAAGCCAGGGGAAGGAAGGCCTATTCCTGCACAAATATCGTGCAACGGGCCTCTAGTGAGAAATAATAAACATTGTTTTGTCCCTGTGATTTGAGGGTGGTTTATCATGTAGCAGAAGGCTACCGGGTAGAGTTTAAGTAAGGAGTCATTGGTTGAGTTAGTGAAGCCACTGGATTTAACACAGGGGTTGCCATACTGTCCATTTAGTAGCAGTTGCCAACCCCCAGGGACAACACCAGCATGCTGCCCACTCAGCCATGTGAACCGGCCATACGGAAGGGAGTCCGTAGCTCTCACACCCCCATTTGTAAATGTTGCTGAACTTTATTCTGCTCAACACACAGTCTTTGAGTAGATAGAACTGTGCAAAAACTGGATGAAAAGATTAAGGGTTCCTGCTGCAAACTCTTCTCAAGGTATTCACCTCACGTATTTTCAGAACAGCAGAAACTCTGGTGACAGCGAAAAGACAGGGCAGAGCCTCATGCTCCCAGATGTCCCTAAACATAAATAGCTCCAAGACTCGCTCCAGGGATGTTTTGTTGAGCCCTAAAACCAAACGCCTTTTAAAAATTTATTGTATCATTTGGGCCAACACTTTCTCCTAAAGTATTCACATCAGACTATTGGAGATATTTGAATTCTTTAGATAATGGCTTCAAAATGTTGGACCTGTCCTTGATCATTTTCATTGCCTCTTATGCTCCTTTCCTCTAATTAGGGCTGCTCAGCCCTGGTGATCCCAGCGGGTGTCAGGGAGCAGCTGTGACAGCTGTCCCTTGTACTGACCTGCCAGGTGCCCAGCGTTTGGCTCGGGAGTGTCTCTGGCTTTGCATTTGCTTCTGCGTATCACGGTGCGATTGAATATGGAGTTTCTCTGAATTGGGTTGTAGTAAAGGGGTTCTTTGTCTTGGATCAGGTCGGCTTGGGGCATTTTCTCTTCTGAGAGTAACTCAGGTCTCACCTTGGCTGCTCCATTAGCAATTTCCCATGGACCATCCGCTGATTTTTTCTGGTCAAAGTCCTTGGTCTCCATGGAAATAGAGCTGGTTGTTTCTCAATAGAATGACAGGAGATCAGTAAGCTCCCCAAACTTCACCAGTTGTTGAGTCCTTTAGAATGGAAGAGAACAGTTCTTTTCAGTTAGGATCATCAGGTTAACCATTCCATTCAGGGTATGTTTTCCACTCCTATTCAAATTTGATGAAATTTGGGATAATTTGCACATCCTGGGAGCTGCATCTTTGTCAATGAAAATTACAGTTTAAACCACTGCAATTTGGATGCATTCATGTATCATTTTATAATTGAGGCTGTTTATTCTATTCATAGGATGCACTTTGGGGGAAAATGCTTAGAGTGGCTTGTAAAACTAATTTTCAAGAAAACATGTTCTGAATAATTCAGGAGAAAAGGAGTAACAACAACAACAACAACAACAAAACACACCAAAAACAAAAAAACAACAACCAACAACAACAACAAGGAGGGGAACTCCTTGCCAATGCCAGGGAAAGGAAGCTGTGCAGACACGAAAGGAAAGAGTTTTGGGAAGAACAAAAAGGGCTGTCGGCGAGGGACAGGTCCTGCCACCCCAGTCGGCAGGAGGATGTGGTTACCGTAAAAGCAAAATTGTTCTTGGGCCACTCAGTAGAATGAGAGAGAGTGAGGGGTTTCTGTTCTGGCCAAATGACTGGGGGACCCCTTGCCCTGAGTTCAGATAGTGGCTGAGCGAACAGGCAGAGAGCACCCAGGAGGGAGGAAATCAAGGTCATCACATATCTGCTCTCTGGAGCCTGAGGAGGGGATTGGCTGTGGACCACGGGAGAGGGTGGACTTCAGCTTGGAATTCAGAGCTGTCCAAAGGTGCAATGGCTGCTCTGGGGGTCAGTGAATTTCCCCTCCCAGAGATGTCCAGACAGGGCCATGGAGAATTAGGAATGAATGATTACAACATCTCCTCCTCTCTCCTTTCCCTTGCTGTCTATGCCTCCCACCAGGGTTGACTCTGATTCTGATACTGAGGCTCTTTTCAGCTGAGAGCTGGTCTGGGGACAGCAAGTGAGCAGGGGTCCTGTGGTGGGGGGAGGGGAGGGAGGGCAATGTAGGAGTTAATTGTGGGTTGGGGCTGGTCTGTGGGGGTCTCTTAACCAGGTCAGGGAGTTCCTGCCACATCTTTTTTTTTTTTTTTTTAAATCAATCTTTATTGTTCATATTATTACAAAGGTTCCTCATTTCTTCCCCCCTCCACCAGGTTCTCACCCCACCCTCTGCCCTTTCCCCACCCCCTATTGTCCTGCCACATCATTGATGACCATGAATGAGGAGGTGGCAGGATTCCGGAACTCTGGGCAGGCTGGGCTGAGGGGCCGAGGCCAGAGGGCTGGTATCACACTAGTATCATCAGGTGTGGCAGGTGAGTAGCTAAGACAGGGTGGAGGTTGGGCTGGGGACCTTGTGCCAGAGGAATGACAGGATCGGTGAGTCACAGTGGGTTGTGGAGGAGCAAGGAGGGGCTGTCCCCACGTTGGGTGGTGGCCAGGGTGACTGGGCAGGCCACTGCCAGTCGGGGAAGTGGGCGCAAAGCTGGCTTGGGGTTGGAGCGTGGGGATGTGCAGGCAGAAAGCCTCCCAGCAGAGTCTGTAGTGGGAAGTTCTAGACTGAAGCTGGCTGACTGTTACAAACAGGGCAACTTCCTGCTCTGACCACAGCATCTCAAAAACTTCCCTGAAGTAGCCACTTGGCATTTAAGGTTATCGTTACCATTATTCATCACCATTTTAATTTTAGGCTGCTTTAAAAAAAAAATTCAGGTATAATTTACACCAGTAGAACTTGCCCTTGATAGTGTCCAGGTCTTTGAGATATGACAAACACATACAGTTCACGTAACCAGCACCACAACCTAAATACAGGACATTCCTTCTTCCCAAAGTTCCCCAGTGCCCTGCTGTAACCAGCTCTTCCCCCATCCCTTGGGTTGGCGTGATGTCTTTCAGACTCAGCCTAGTGTATCGTGATGATGGCCAGTGTTGACCGTGCAGTACTATGAACTCATGGAGGCCTGTTCAGTGTATTGTGAAGGGCACTGGGCTGGGAGTGAAGGGACTGGGTTTGAGTCCCCATATCCTGCTGCCTGTAATCCCTTATTTAACTTGAAGTCAGGGCCTAATTTTCCGCCCAGGAACCATGGGGTGGGGATGAGGATGGGGGGAAGGGGGAGGGATGTCTCAAATTCTGGATCAAAGGCGGCTCAGAGAGCCCACAGAGGGAATATCTAGAAAGAACCCTGGGAGCTGCCCTCAAACCTTCTCTGTCATTTTCTTTAAATGAGTGGCTCTGAAACCTTGGGAAAATGTCTTTTAAATCATACCATTTTAAAGGCCGTTACAAACACACACACACACACACACACACACACACACACACACACACACACTCACACACGAATTTGTGAAACACTCTGGAAAACAACTCTAATTCCACCTCACTTATTGCCTATATCAGGCAAATGTGTTCTAAATCTGAAACATTTTTTTTTATAATCGCTCCATTTCTTCTATATCCATTAACTTCTGGAAGTCAGACAGCCCTACCCCAAATCTCCTAATGTTTTTCTGAAACTCCTTGGGAGCTTTATGCCCACGTGTTTCTGTCCCGGGAGCTTTAGGGTGGAAGTCCATAGAGTCAGCCTTGTGATTGGAAGGGGGAGGGCTGATGGCAAAGTGGCACCGGCATACCATTCATTCATTCGCTACTCACACAACAAGCTTGGCTGGCTTACTATCTGTGTCTGTGCCCCACATCTGCCCACATTCCCTCGTTAGGACACTCCAAAAGGGCAGGGCTTCATCTGTTTTGTTCCTATGTCCCTGGTGCCAGACATCCACAGCACTTTGTAGACAGATTCACTCCAGGAGGCAGATGTGCCAATCATCCCCATCTTACAGATGAGGGAGCTGCGGGACCGGAGCTCTGGTAACTTGCCCAGGATCATGCAGCTGGCAAAGGGTAAAGCTGGAATACCACCTCATCGGTCTGACTTGTTTGTTGGGGGGAACTGAGATGCATGGGATGTGGTCAGAAGACGCTGTTAAGAAAACTGGCTGAAGACTGCCTGGGTGCATCAGGCAGAAGCAGGGCTCTAGGCTGCTCTCTCAGTCCTAGCTCTGTGGCTTTGGGTGTATGAGCCAAGAGTGACTATTAAACCTCCTGGGGCTGGGCTGAGGGCCAGGGACCTCCCTGCATGAGTCAGTGGCAGTCTGGGAGGTCAGGACATGAGAGAAGGTGGTGGGGCGGAGCGGGAAGCTGCCATAAACCCAGCTCCGGCAATCCAAGCCAGCTGCTTGGGGTGGGGGGACAATGCATAGTGGCACAGGGCGGTACGTGTCTTCAGGTAGGAGGCCCAGGGCAATGCGACTGTGGGGTATGTTAGCCATCCAGCTGGGGGGTGGGAGCATGGTCCAGAAATGTGGCCTGAAAGTCACCCTAGCTGTGACTGACAGCAGGAGGGCTTGAATGACTGCAGGCAGGTCTCCATGGTAATATGGCCTCCTAAGATGGAGGCAGGCCTGGATGACCCCAAGTCACCTGCATCATCTCAGCTTTCTTTTCTTTTTTCTTTTTCATATTTTTAATTTTTTAAAATATATATATTTTATTGATTTTTTTTTTACAGAGAGGAAGGGAGAGAGATAGAGAGCTAGAAACGTCTATGAGAGAGAAATATCGACCAGCTGCCTCTTGCACACCCCCTACTGGGGATGTGCCCGCAACCAATGTACATGCCCTTGACTGGAATTGAACCTGGGACCTTTCAGTCCGCAGACCGGACCACTTCAAATTCTTTTGGGATCCTCTCTCTCTCTTTGGGTATCCCATTTCTCCCTTCCTTTGTTCATGCTGAGAACACCGAAATGTTCCCAGGGCCTCTCCAGGGCAGGGCACCGGCTGTCATCCCTTTGCCCAGTGGTCACATGATTCTCACAACACAGATGCTCCCCACAGCCAAACCACTGAGCCAAACCGGTTTCGGCACTTTTTAAAAAATTTTTAAATTAAATTATTATCTTTGTACATATACCAGTACCCCCCTCCCCCCTCCCATGCAGCTTTCACTCCTGCTCCTAGCATTGGCACCTTAGACCCCTCCCAGGTGAATGGCAGTGTTTACGAGGGCTGTAAACAACAAAGGCTTTAAAAACAGGCAGTGGGGAGGGGTGGGGAGGGGTGGGGCAGGGTCGGGCTGTAGAGGAGAAAGTTAGGTAGCAGAGGGGAATCCAGATGAAGTGTCTGGTTTGGGAGAAAAGCCCCAGCGAGGAATGGAGCTCGGAGAGCTGCCGCGGCAGGTGCTCTGCTGTGGGGAGCACCTGTGTTGTGAGAATCATGTGACCACTGGGCAAAGGGACGACAGCCGGTGCCCTGCCCTGGAGAGGCCCTGGGAACATTTCGGTGTTCTCAGCATGAACACAGGAGGGAAGAAATGGGATACCCAAAGAGAAGGAGAGGCTCCCAAAAGAATTTGAAGTGGAAATTTGAAAATTGGAGAGCAAGGGTGGAGAGGGACAGGATCAAAAAGGCAGCAGGAGGGGAATTCAGGGCAAGGCCCAGACCCCCGCTGGCTCTCAACATTGGGGTGAAACCCCACCTGCATCATGGCCATGCGGGGCCAGCAGGGGCTTCAGGAAAGGGGAGGGGGTGGTTCCCAGGCTGAGGGAAGGGGTGGGGATCCTTGTAGAACCAAGACTGTGGCCAAATGCAGAAAGTGACCTGCTTGGTGCCTAAAGGGCTGGCTGGAGGGTCTCTTCCCAGTGAGCAGGAGAGGGGACTGTACAGAAATAACTAAGTGGGGAAGGGAATGTGGGAGTGAGCAAAGGGGGTGGGGCTTCTAGGTTCAGCAAGGCGCTTAGAGAGAGGAAGTCTGAGCCGAGGCCTGAAGGTGGCCAGAGAACCAGCCCAGGAGGCAAAGTTCCAAACTGATGTATCTGTTGACTTCTGTTCAAGAGGGAGAAAGGGAAACATGAGCTCCAGAAGGTT